GTCCATTCAAATAAACAAGTTTCTTGTTTATCTTCCTAAACGAACCTCCGTGCCAGAATCTCAAGGTCAGACTATCCATTCCTCCAATTGTGACCTACATAACAATTAAATCATATGTAAAACTAACTTGCAGACTGTTCTTACTTTTTTTAAGTTTAAAAAATGCAGTTCATCAAACTGGGTTGTGGCAGGTTTAAAAAATGTAGTTCATCATATGTAAAACCAACACTGCACCACAAAAATGCAGTTCATCAAACTGGATTGTGGCAGGTTTAACCCAAAATCTCATTGTACTTCAAAACCATAACAGATATTTGTATGACTTTGGCATTTCATCGAACACATGATGGATAAAAAATAGCATACAAGTAATAAGAGAAGGTGTATATGAAATAAGTTGGATACAAGCACATATGGAATACAAGCACAATTTGCATGTTATTCATTCCAGGTAATGAGCAACATATATGATTTTTTTTATGTGTGCAATTACTTACAAGCACATATAAACAATGAAGACCATTCTCAGTATACTATTAAAATTTCGCATAGAAGCACATCTGAAAAATGAAATTAAGAGCACGTGTGAATAAATTGCAGACCATTCTCGTTTATAATGAATTAAATGAAGAGCACGTATGGAATTACCGGGAATGAAAGTCTTCTACTATCTCCGGCATCAACTATGTGTTCCTCTATTGCCAGGCTCCATACTCGTTCTCTTCTGAAACAACACAGTCTGGTCGTTTTTTTTAATTGGTTTTAATTTGGTCAAAAACGGGTTTCATTAAAACTAGTTTTAATTGGGTCGGGTCAAAACTGGGACGGGTAAATTCTGATTTCCCACTCAAATTGGCCGTTATTTAAAAAAAAATGACTGCCTTACCTGGTAACAAATCCCTAGGACTGATTATGGAATATGATAAGCAAAGATGGGATTGTTAATGGATTTTCGATAGGATGGAATGTTAAATGAAGACCGGGTAAAAGTTGGATTATATATTAAATTCCAATTTTCCTTTTTAATGTTACCTTTAGCAACTAAAATGGCTTTGTATCTTAAAAACCCATCAGCTCGAAATTTGATCTTAAAAACCCATCTACAACCAATTGGTTCTTCCTTTTGGTAAAGGTACAAGATTCCAGTTTCATGTGCTTTAAGTGCAAAAAAATCAGTTGCAATAGCTTCTTGCCATTCAGGAAAAGGAGTTGCTTGCTCATAAGACATTGGTTCTTGAATAGCTCACAAAACCATAGTGTCCAAAGTATTGGATCCCTAAGGGAAACATTAGAAGAGATAAAAATAGAATTGGAACCATCAACAGAGAGAGAAGTGAGAGTGTGAGAGCAGTCAAAATCAGAAAGAACCTAATTGGATTTGGAATTTTTGAAACCGAAAATGTACTGATCATGATAGGAAGGTGGTTTGGATTTCCTTCTAAATTGTCTCAGTGAAACTTGTTCATTTTTAGAAGGAACGGGATCTAAATTTTTTTGATGTGGTTGATTAGTTTCTGTGATGGTATGATCTGAAGAAGGATGAGATGAAGATTATGTAGTAACATTAGAAGTATCATTTGGAATGGACAAGCAATCTATTTTGGACGCAGTTAGAGGAATGCAAAAAGGATCATGATATTTAATGTATAAGAAATTAAGAAAATGGTTTCATGAAAAAGACATCCCTGGAAAAGTTGACTGAGTGATCCTTCATATTAAGAAGCTTATAAGTTTTCTTGGGCGCCGAATTATATTCCCTACATCCCACAAAACTTGGCAAACTTTGAATTGCACGTAGAATAATAAAGTAATAACTATGTGATTGATATTTGTATAGATGAGTGAGAAACTACTTTAACCATATATAGTGTATTTATTACTTTAAATGAAAATGACAACGTTTTTTGGGATGGTTGAAAAGAAAATTTGACCAAATTTTATGAGACGGAGGAAGTATAAAATCAACATAAGTGAGTTTGAAGTTACTTTTGTGATTGAATTGGATGAAGTTACTATAGAAGATCATTGTAGTTATTTTTATAAGTTGGGATAAGGGTCAGATAGGGCCTCGAACATGAAAAAAATGTCAAATAAGGCCATATTTAGGATGCTCTGTCCGGCTGACGCCATTTGGGGTGGTTCCCGGTGGAATTTTTTGATGAAATTTTTTGAGAATCTTATTCATTAAGTCTAGTTTACTCATATCAAATTTGAACTAACAATTCAATCGGGAAGGCATTCAAATGAATTCATGAAGATAACTGCGCTTTTAACGGTACAGTTATCTTCAAGAATTCATTTGAATGCCTTCCCGATTAAAGTTTTAGTTCAAATTTGATATTAGTAAACTAGACTTAATGAATAAGATTCTCAAAAAATTTCATCAAAAAATTCTACCAGGAACTACTCCAAATGGCGTCGGCCGGACAGAGCATCCTAAATATGGCCTTATTTGACATTTTTTTCAAGTTCGAGACCCTATCTGACCCTTATCACTTATAAGTTTTTTCTTCGTTTATCAATTAAAATATTTTAAATATAGGAAAATTTCACAATAATAATCTCACATTTGACTAGTTTTCTCATAATGACCCCACATTTCCACCTTATGTGATCCCATAATAATCTCACATTTTCACCCCGTCTTCTTTCATTGGACTCTGACCAATTAATGACCTACTATATCAAGGTTTTTTCTTTTTCTTTAAAAACCTTATATTAATAATCTCACTTTTTACAAATCTGCTCAAAACAGTCCCACATGTCATTTCTTCTTTTCTTCATCTTCTAATTATTTCATTTATTTAATCTGTTTATATTTTTTCTCCGCTTTTTCTTATAGTTTTTTTTCTTTCTTCTTATTCTTCCCCATTTTTACTTCTTCCCTTTTTATGTATTACCATTCGGTTAATCTATTGTATATTCGATCTTTATTAAAGTATATATAAATAGTATATTCTTCATTATCTATGAAAATTCTTTATGAAGACTGTTATGGAAACGGATTTTTCCAATGTATAAAATAAAAATCCCAATGGCATTTGCAACTATAACCTTCCCAACCACCATTTTCATTTTTTTATTTAGTTATTTGACTACCAAACAAAAAGAAGAAAGACATAAGAAATTTTCAATTTCTATGTATCGATAAAGAGAGTTAAAAAAATAAATAAATAAAACTCGATAAATAAATAGTGGGATTCCTTCGTTTCTATGGTTTCTTCTGAAACGGTGAGGTCTTTTCTATACACCGGAGCCCTTCACTAATATTGAATAAACTTTATTTATTGCGAACTTGTATAGTTTACATTATTGAGGCTCTACCCATTCATTATCCAATAAAGTAGTAGATCTTTCACAACCCGATCCACTTATAAAGTAACGGTATTTAAGTATGAAAGTTAGCTAAGTTAGCTTACCTTTTTAGTCCATTCTTGCAAGATTGGGTCCTAATTTTTTTTAGGATTTTCTCCGCTTAATGGATAACCTTTTGCTACCAAAGGAGAATTGCTTCTCTACTTAAATAATTCTCTTTTAAGTACTATTATCTCACATTACTCTGTTATTACTTTATTTATTCCTTATTTAAAATTTTCTTTTCTTTAAAGTCTCCCTTTTCCTCCTTTTTTTCTCTTTTCACCTTGCTAAAAAGTATTTCTTCTTTTCTTCATCCCTTCTCACCTCATCCTTTTTCGCTTTTTTTTGACATGTTCGTTAGTGAATAGTAACGATTTCTTGATCTAGTTTTTTTTTTTTTTTGCTTATTTTTACACCTTTTCAGATAATGTTATCACATCTACCTCTCTTGGTGTTAAGAGTATATGTAATTCTTTTCTTTCTTACATTTCCCCGATTATTTTATTTTTCTTGAAATTTTATTTTCCCCTAATTTTTTTATCACAAAGATTTTTTCTCATAGTTGATAAAGGAGAAAAAAATATATTAACAGTGAAATTAAGCTAAACAGAAGAAAGAAAAGAAGAAAGAAGAAAAAACACAAAAAGTAACAAGAAGAAAAAACGGAAAAAAGTGAAAATAATAAGAAAATATAACTAAAAGTATAGTCGGGAAAATATCTTTAATAAAAAGAGAACGATTAAGAAAAGAAATACATAAAAAAGGAAATGAAATAAAAATACGGGAAGAAAAAAACGACAAACAATCTGTTCGAAAAGGAAATTTGACAACAAAACAAACACTCTCATAATAGATCAGAGTGACAAACAGAATAGTAAATATGGAAAATAAATAAAAATAAAAGGATGGAAAAATGAGTAAAAAGTGTTTAGGGATAAAAATAAAGAAGGGAAATTTTAGGGTGAGAAAGAATGAAATATGGGATTGTTTTTAGTAAAATTTTGAAATGTGAGATTATTTATGTAATTTTTTCAAAGAAAAGACAAAAAGTCTGGTATAATAGATCATCAACCGGCCAGGATCTAATGAGACAAGATGGTCTACAAAAATGGGATTTTTCTAGAATTACATAAAAGTGGGATTACCATGAGAAGACCGATCAAATGTGAAATTATTGTTATCAATTTTTCTTTAAATATAGTACTTCCACAAATTAGCAAAGTGACACAGGTTCAGCTAGAATTTCATCAGTTACAATATATAGATTCAACTCATTTAACTGATTTCAATGTTACCAAATTGGTACTAAAAAATACTCATTCGATCCCTTAAAACTTGAACAAGTTTAACCGACAAGGGTAGAAAGTCAGAATTGTGTGATTCAAATTGTATATAAGAAAAAGAAATAATAATAGAAGAAATAATTACATATTTATAAAAATGTGGCTAGTGGTTATAGTAATAACTAAATCATAATAACTTATATTTATTTTTTATTTTTTACAGAACTTATATTTAATTTTTAAATTTATGTGACCATGATACTACAATGTAATAACTATTAGTCAAATTTTTGTAAATAAATTTTATTTTAATTGTATATTTTTTAGAAGGAAAATTGACAAATTTTTACAAGAGAGGAATACCAATTAAAATCTACCAAATTAAATGATCCGGTCCATTAGAAAATCACATGCCCAAGATCTGCAATAATCTAACCAATCTCTTCGGTATACGAATTCATCCGATCTACCATCTCAGCCAGACAGTCGTACGCTATATTGCTCTCTCCGTTTGCAGCTCCTCTTCCCCTTAGGTCGGACGCAGTTCGTCTAATATCCCAAGGTTAGTCGATTATTACCATCTGTCTTCTTATTTTGTTCGTATATATCTTTTTATATTTTTTTTAGCAGTGAATAATAGATCAAGCTTAAAGGGTGTTGTTGAGTTTCGTTATTTAACTGCTATTTCAGTTAAACGATAAATAATTTTCTAAATTAAGGAGTTATATTAAGCTCTAATTCGATGACCAACCAGTAAGCCGGCAATGTTGCCTTAGTACGGAGAAGATCCAAAATTCTGCAGATGGGGATTTGATTTTATTAAAAGTAGGAATAGTAATAAACGGTGGAAAAGTCTGGATCTTTAGCACTACTCTACTATTTGTGTCTTATCTTCAATAGGTGGTATTCCCACTTCTTTCATAGATTTTATCATAAAACAATTCTTATTGTCCATCCAGTGAAGGATTCTTGACTAAGACACGCATTAGTTGTGCAATGTGATTTCTGATCAGGGTGACATCTATTTGTGTGTGTGATTTTACAATAGCAAAATTACAAGTACATAATGATCTAATTCACACATATTATATCACTAAGCTTATTACTCCGTATTTTATTTGATATGACATGTTATTCATAAATGTATATTATTCAGTGTTGATTCTGATTATAATACTAAGTCCACCATTATATAAAGGGTTGGACTGTTATTTTGTTTTGTGAATATCATTCAAGCCTTCTCAACATCTCAAGTCATTATTTTAAATGTCATTTGGTCCGATCATTGCACATAGTATTCATTGTTTCCTTTTTCTAGGATGGAGTCTAGCAGGGGACAAGGTGGAATTCAACTACTCTTAGCAGCAGAACAAGAAGCTCAACAAATTGTCAATGCTGCAAGGAGTGGTAAGACCGTAAGATCCTTTGTTTTTGTTAACACATCGGTGTATGAATGAATTTGTTAATTCAACTTCTCTGAGAAAATCAATACGTAGTATTAAAAAAGCTTTATGCTCCTTCTTTTCCCTTTGTATTATGACTTGGATTCGATGGTCTTTTTCCAGTCTTTCACTAGATTGTCCATTTCCATGAAACTTTAAGTTTAAAATTACTTATTTACAATCAAAAGTTTGTATAGTTTCTCTCATAATGGTGGATTTAGTGAAACATGTATCCAACTTCACTTCTGTTTTTTGTTGAGGACGTTTCCATTGTGCATCTTTATGTGGTTGAAGTACTTGAACTAATGTATGGATTTACTGTATATACAAGTTTGGCTGAAGAATATGCTCGGCTGCAACTTATTGCTCTGAACATATAGAAACAACAGGAGTAGTGGCTATGAGATTTCTCCTTTCTTATTAGTTATTACTAGGCTACATTACTTGGACCACTATATTAAATTGGACCTAACATGCCACAAAATATCCTCAATGGTGTGGACTTCACTCTTATATACGGAGTACTAGATTAGACTCAAATCTACTACACAATCAATGTAGGGTACTCGACACATCCCCCTCCCTCAAAGTCAAGCCAGTCTCAAGTACTCAGCTGCTAAAGGGCTGGACAAATTGGTCCAGACCTACCCCGAATGGGCTTGCAGTAGTATACCTGATTTTTTATACCAAGTTAAGTCTAACTCATCTAAAAAAAATCCTCCTCTGATAAGGTGTACATCACTTGGATACTAATCCCGAACTCACTAGGCAACTAAATTCCTTGTGTCTTTGTATTATGGAGTATGTGAGTTTAAGTACCAGTCATACAAACATGCTCCTGAACTGGGAGATGCCAGATTTTGTTAGCAGTGGGATACTCAACACACGAGTAGGAAAAGATGGCTGAAGTTTCTTGTTTACATTTGCAGCAAAACAGGCTAGATTGAAACAGGCTAAAGAAGAAGCTCAGAAGGAGATATCAGAGTTCCGTGCGCATATGGAATCTGAATTTCAGAAAAAGCTCACACAGGTATTAATGCATAATAATAATAATAGTAATAAAAATAATAACAATACCAACAACAATAACAATAATTATTATGATTATTATGAAATCCATATACACCAAGGCTGTATAAAATTGTTTTTGTTGTTAATCATCAGATAATGTTAAAAAATCCATAGCTAGGTATTTGCTCAATCATTGCTCAATGTCAGTTTTGTGTCTAAACTCTAAAAGAAAGAGCCAATGTTATGGTTCGGGGGTGAACCATATCCACAGTTAACAAATAAAAACTGTATCTCTTACGCTTTACTTGCCTGCTGTCTCAAGTATGAAGTGTGTAACAAATTCTTTTTATTTTGTGAAACAGAGTAGTGGGGACTCCGGTGCAAATGTTAAGCGTCTAGAGGTAGAGACTGAGGCCAAGATTCATCACCTGACAACAGAAGCTGCAAGAATTTCTCATGATGTTGCCCACATGCTTCTAAGGCATGTTACTGCTGTGAAGCACTAGTGATCCCCCTTGTGAGTTTTATTTGAAGGACCATGTGAGCTTTATGTCAAACACCATTTTCTCTCTCCCTCTCCTTCTGTGTGGTAAATTCTTTTTCAATTAATCTGTGCATTGCCAACTTGTATTGTAATTTTTTTCTTCTGAATCATCCCCAATGGTTAGTTTCTCATTGGTCTTGACTCCTGATCCAATAAAGCAGTGAAATTCTGTGCATTTTACCTTGGACTTTAATTTTATTTTGGAGGAGCATCAACTCTGTTATGACTTATAATGATTGACAATACTCCCTATATATTGCAAGCCCTGGTGAGAGTGTGAGCTTTATATGTACCCTTTGTAATGCCCTGCGCTTGTTGTTGTTGTGACTCGTGACTCGTGAGCTTATGGTTCTGTGAATAGCATTCTCCAAGTGTCTTTAGAACCATGTCGTGATGTAAATGATCTTCAAGACTTCAACTCGTAGTCCTTTGGTCTTAGAAGTGTTAGAACTTGCGCTTGGTTAAGTCCATTCGAAGTTCTTATGTGATCATCAATTCAAGCACTCTAAAATGTGTGTATGCTAGCCGATTTGGCAAACGGCACATGAAGTTCATCGAAAAGTTATTAAAAATAAAACAAAAATCAATTGAGAAACAAATATTCACGGAAGATGGAGAATTGAACAGAGTAAAATCTACCACTGCAAATTAAATGATAATTTACAAAAGGTCATAAAGCTCACTATACAAAATACCGCATCCAGGTGAAATTCCACTGGCTAGTTTAAATTTGGGGAGAAATTCAACGGCTAAGTTTTACATTTTTATACGAAGTACTAACAAATGCAATAATTCAATAAATATGGAGTTGGGGTTTTGATATTGTTTAATATGAAATTATTTTAAATATGAAAATTATATCAAAATGTTCCTTATTTAAATTATTTAAATAAAAGTATAAAACTTGCAAATTATATACAAATACAATGATTAAATCATTATTCAAAGTTTGTCACCATTGATTAAGGAAAGTCAATATAACGAACTTTTTCGAGACGAAGATAGTACATTATAGCCTTATAGGTGTTGGTATTTCATTTATTTTCTATATTTGGATAATTGTATATTTGAAGGTTCAGTTGGATTTAGAGCATCTCCAATGGTAAATTGTGCACGGTGCACAGTGGCATGAGATATAACCACATAAATATTAGTAAATAAATTCTTTCTCTTCTTATTTGAATGATTTTATATACTTTTGGTAAGTTTTTCTCCACAATGTCAAGGAGACCGTCTAGATGTTGACATTGTTGTTGACATTGCAGGGAAAAACTTACCAAAATGGTGTAAAATTATTCAAATAAGGAGAGAGATTATTTATTTGTTAATATTTATGTGGCTATGACGCATGCCACATGTGCACCGTGCATATTATAGCATTGGAGATGCTCTTAGTAGTGGAAATATTTACCATGTTTATTTTCTATATATGGTAATGGACTAATGGTAATAACTACGTCATGGACTACACCCGCTCACCATGACCACACCATTCGGATGAAGCACTTTTAACACACCGTGTTGTCCAAAATCAATATTATATATATATAAGAAGAACTTTTTAAGAGCATACAAAGCGCCACATAATCCTGCCATGTCATTATATATATTAATTATTTAGTTAATTTGTACCTTCTATTTTTATTAGCTAGATTCTATTTTTGATTGCATAGTGATATGGAAACAAAAATCCGCAGAAAGTACTATATTAAACAGGCTCTATTTTAGGCTAAGTTTATATATGACAGGTATTCTTAGCCAAAAATACAATACGTTTTAATTTCTATAACAATTAAATGTTATAGTATACGTTTAGGCTTAGAATTATGTGTTAGAATTATACGTTTTAATTCCATTATAACAATTAAACGTTATCGTATATGTTTATATGTTTAGGCTTACAATTTAAAAAAACAGACTATATTTAGACTATTTTACTTAATATATACCCCGTATTAAATTTCTATAAATATCCATCTTCATAAGATTATATTAAACGTTTAAAATCGGGTTCATAGCAATTATATTTACTCGAGATGCTTATGTAGAAGATCAATTTAACTATTTTTCATATAATCTTTTTCTGGCTTCACAAATGGAATATATTTTACATATTTTTTCATGATTCCACTCATTTAGCTCATTTAGTCATAATTTAATCAATTTGAGTAAAATAAGTTAATTCAATTTATTTTAGTATTTTCAAACAAGATCTATATTAGACTAAGTTTATTTTTCTTTTAAATCACATTCCATATGATCCGAAATAAATCAAATTTCAATTAGCTAAATTACATCTGCCCGTGCATCGCACGGGCTTGAAAGCTAGTAAATAAATAAAACAGGAGAAAAGAAAACGTAAAAAAAACTAAATGATGATCACGACGTTAAGATGAAGCACTACTTTTTTTTTAATATGTGAGAGATTTTGATATATTTAGTTTAACTCGGTATTTGATATAAATGTGATACATTATCGTGCAAATGATATTATGAATGTTTTTAAGTATAAATTGGCTGAAACAAACGGCTTATTGGCTGAAACTAAGCAGAATGCTTTCGAACTTTTTTTTACCCTAGCGAGAGCTGAGGGTCGAGCGGCGCTGGACGATTGCCGATCAGGAGAGTCGAGGGGCGAGTCTCGGACGACTGGTGCGGCAATGAGATGGAGGACGCAGCCACGCAGGAGATGATGGACGTAGAGAGGATCGAGAACAGGTAGACGAACAGGAAGGTAAGCTCGTTGCTATGTATGGGGGCCTGGGATTTGGGGGATTACAGGATGAACTGCTGATTGAAGATGAAGAGGAAGGGGAATCGGCGATCGGGGCAGTGAAGGCAAAGGAATTTCCGGTGGTTGGGACGATTCTCACGGACAAAGTCATTCGATTTCCGTTCTTCAGGGACTTCATGGCTGATTTATGGCGTCCAAAGGTATCTGTTTAAATTTTTCCATTCTGTTGATATGAATCGTGTCCTGGATAATGGACCGTGGCTGTTTGATCAGAATTTGATTTTGTTAAAAGCTGTTCAACCGGGTGATATCCCGATTAAGATGGTGCCAGATGAGTTTGAGATCTGGGTACAGGTTCATAATGTGCCATATAGTTTTGAAAATTTGGGAACAGCTAGGAGAATTGGGAATCATTTGGGAGAATTTGTCACTTGGGATGATAAAAAATTTGGAAAAAAAGGAGAATTATATGCGTGTGAGAGTCCGCATGAACACTGGTAAAACTTTAAAGATTGGGACCACTCTAAGGAAGAGTAGGGGAGAAGGGTATTGGGTAGACTTTAAGTATGAAAAGCTGCCGAATTTCTGCTTTTGATGTGGTGTGATTGGACTTGCAGAGAAATTTTGCCCTCTTCTATACGAAAACGAGGGGCTAGCTATGACTAGACCATTTGGACCGTGGCTTAGAGCGAGTGGAAGGAAATCGAAGCCAAACATGAGTAGCAAATGGCTGATTTCGGAAGAAAGCTCCTCCGGAGGTGGCACGTATACATCAAGTATTGTGAGGTCAATGCAGGAGGTGGACCCAGGTGAGATAGAAGGGAATCAAGGGAGTACCAAAGCCGGAATGGGGAATGCTATGATTTCAGGTGAGATAGAAGAGGAAGGAGCACCAGGAGAGCTGAAGAGGAGACGAACTTGGGAGGATCAGGCTAGGGAGGATGCTGCAAAGGATGTGATGGCGCTGGACTCCCCAAAAAACAGGGTAGGGGCGGGCGCTGGACAGATGATCTGATGCTGATTACGGCTTCTTTAGCTGAGAAACTTATTTACTCTCTTTATTTTGTTTTATTTATTTCCCACGTTCTGGATGTTGTTTTTGTTTTGGTTGTGCTGTGTTTTCCAGCAAAAAAACTAGTGAATCTAAAACAGGAGATGAGGAGTCGTGTCTGCAAGTCATTGGCTCGGGTAAGCCCAAAGCGGGATCAGTGAATTATATGGCTTCTACGGAGGTGATTAATTCAGAGTCTGGTTCTTGGGCGGACGGTAGACAGGAGACTTGTCACTTTGTAACCTGTTTTGATTCGGTCCGTTTGATCTGTTTGATAATGATAAGTTAAGCCAGTTTCGTTCAAAAAAATGTTTTTAAAAATAAATGATTATCTTATAAATGTACAACCTGTTTGGTAACAATTTAAAAATGAGCGATTAACTTATAAATGTACATCCTTTTTTGGCTTATGAACCTTACTAGACAACTTTTTACTAAATAATTATTTTTTTATTTCACGGGTTGAATTTTGTAATCATTAAAAGTTAAAACAAGTAAGATTGAAATTATTTTTACAATTGAATTGGCTAAAGTTATTGTAGATAACCTCTTTAGATATTTTGACATTATTTTTACTTTATTGTTTTAATAAAATATATTGTTAATATAATTTTTTCATAATTCATTAGATTCAGCCAACATTTCATCACTTTCACCAAGTTTACTTGATTCAATCGATTCCAGTATTATCAAACAGACTCATAATATTATTTATAGATATAAACGCTAAATATTTGGTGTACATGACATTATACAAAATGCAAACTGATTGTGTTTATTGTAGGTCATGTTATACAAAATGTAAACTACGTGGATTAAATACTCCCTCCATCACAAAAAGGTTCGTCGAATTGACTTTTCTTAATCAATGAAAATCAATTTTGATTAATGATATTTTTTAATACGAAATTATTTTGAATATGAAAATTAAATTATATCAAAATGTGCATTATTCAAAATATTTTCATAAAAGTACAAAATTTATAATTTATATGTAAATATAATAATTAAAATAGTTTTCTAAAATATGTCATCATTCACCAAGAAAAGTCAATATGACGAACCTTTTCGGAACGGAGGTAGTATGTAAGTCACATTATATAAAATGTAAAGTGTGTGTATCAAGTATGTAAGTCATGTTGTACAAAATGTAAAATGTGTTTGTCAAACATGTAAGTTATGTTTTACTCCCTACAAAATATAATTTGTGTGTGTCAAGTATGTAAGTTATGTTATACAAAATGTATATTGTCTGTGTCAAATACATATTGTGATATGTAAATCACATTATACAACATGTAAATTGTGTGTGTCAAATATGTCAATCGTCTCGCGAATGAAACGCTTGATGCCTGACAAGGTGTCGGCTGACAAACCAGGTAGTTGTGGCGCGAATGAGCGATGGAAAGCGAGAGATCGGCTTTCTCGTCCTCGAGCTGAATTTTGCATTGAGGCTTGTTTCCTTCGTGACATCGCTCTCAGAGATTTTTGTAGGGGTGTGACCAAACGTGGTTGTTCTTATTTTGTTGTTGTGTTTGTTTTGTTCTATGGCGATTCTTTGTGGGACACTGGTGCTCCAATATGTTTTGTCTCTATTGGTGTAGGATGTTTGGTGTCCCTGCCCTGGCCAGAGTGTTTTTTACTCAACTTGTTTCTACTTTTATTCGAAAAGAAATAATAAGTAGAATTTAGTATTCACCTATATTGCAGCATCTCATCCTCCTCCGGAAGCATCTTCATGCTAGGAAAAGAGATTTAGTTCGAGTAGGTTTAGTTTGGATATTTGGAGTACTTTTGATAGGAAATGTTTCGGCTGAGTTTGTATTAACCTTACCATTGATTGTTTTGTGTTTGTTTTTATGATCTTGAGTCGGACATGAGAAGAAGAAAAAAGCAATGCCACATGGCAAGGGAATGAGGGGTGACTATCACCCTCTTGGGAGAGGGTGGATAAAATCGGACTCTCTCATAATCCCTTAAGACTTTCATAATTATTAATTAATAACAAAATCATAGTTTCATTTATAATTAAATCATAAAAATAATAAGTATATATGTATCCGCCACATCTTCTGATCTTCCACCTCCATAGCACCATCATCTTCGATCGCGTGAAAAATTTCATCTTGTGAAAAATATGTAAAAATCAAACTTCTAAAATGGTATTTTAGAAAATTAAACTTTATGTTTCCATTCTTATACAAGTAGTTTGACTGTTATATACCTAGTTCGGCTTTTAATTACTTTTATTTAGGAAATTAATCCATACTATATTTATGAAATAATTCCAAATATATAACTAAAATATATAACTAAAACATAAGTAGTAGACAAAAACGTGACTATAGAAAGCATATAGAAAGCGCTGTGTAACCAAATTATTATTACAAAGGCTATAGAAAGCAAGCACTCAATTCTTCACTTTTTCCAGGGGTGGGCGTGGTCCGGTCCGGTCTGGTCCGATCCAATATTTTGCTGAACTTGTACCCGTATCATGACTATTGAAATGGTTCGGTCTTAGACCTAAACCCATTTGGTACGGTTTCATTTTGAAACGGGACGATACCATGTAATATCAATACCAAACAATGTCACTTTTTCCAAGTGTTTAAGGGGTAATTAAAGTTTAACCATCCTCCAAAAATCTACACAATTTACCAATTTTCAAATTACATACTACCTCCATTCCAAATTGATTTACAAAGTCAACATTTTTTGGTCAAATAGTTTCTTTATTTACTTAATTAGGATATCACTTTATAATTATATTCTAATTTGACCTCTCAAAAAAAGTACTTCGTATATTTTAATTTGGATTTTGCAATTTTAAAAAGTTTTTAATGTGATTTCTAAATGTGTAAATTTTAATTATTAAAAAATTTATTAATTATCAACAGGGACTTAACATTAACATTGGTTGACTAAAAAATATTGATTTTGCATATCAAATTGGGACTAATGGAGTAATTTATCAATTTCAAATAAACTTTAGTAGTACAAATTTAAATTATTAAATCATATTTCGATCTGGTCCTTAATTAAACCAAATTCAAATAGTAGTACAGATTCTTATTTTATGAGAACCCGTCATGACATTGTTTGGAATCGATAAGGCACGGTTCTAGACAAAAAAATTGAGATTCCATTTCAAACCCTGTTTAATGGTCCAGTACCATACCGGTCCGGTTCGGTATCATGCCGGTTCGGACCTATTTACTTTCAAAAAATATATAAGGACCTATTTAATTAATTTTACCAGAAAAAAAAAACTAATCCACCTAAAAATCTTACGGAGTACATGTCAAATTGCTAATTTCCCTTGCTTTAAAAGGATAAAGCGGTTACCTCACCACAACAGACATGCTCTGCAACTCCCCGCACATCTTGCTGCTCTCTTTATTTCTCTGTTCGCTTTCTTCGACATATATTGCACCAAAATACGCGAATGCTTTGAGTTTTTGAGATTTTTCCCAGCAATGTCGGCCCCCTACCTCACCGCAGAAGATGTTATGCTAGAAGAGCCCAGCATTGACACTGATAAGCTGAGCTACGAGATATTCTCCATCCTCGAGAGCAAGTTCCTATTCGGGTACGATAACCAGAAGCTTTGGATTCCGAAATCCATCCCACCGGCACTTGAAGTAGTCTCAACTCCGCCTCCGGTGCAAGCCATTAAGAACTCCAGAGGGAAGGTTTGTGTCCTGTCCATTGATGGAGGCGGAATGCGGAGCATCCTCTCCGGGAAGGCAATGGCGTATTTGGAGCAGGCGCTTAAAGCAAAATCGGGCAATCCGGATGCACGGATATCTGATTACTTCGACGTCGCCGCCGGTTCCGGCGTCGGCGGCATTTTCACGGCGATGTTGTTCGGCACGAAGGACCAGAACCGCCCGATTTTTAAAGCGGATGAAACGTGGAGGTTTTTGGCTGAAAATGGGGGGAAATTGTTCCCCACGAAAGGTTCCAGCTCAGGCAGGACCGGAATATTCGGGCGAATTTTCCGTTATAATAGTACTGGATCGTCAGTCGCCGGTCTAGAGAAGGCAATGAAGGAGGCGTTCGCAGAGGAGAAAACGGGTCGGAGCCTGACATTAAAGGACACTCTGAAGCCGGTTTTGATTCCCTGCTACGACCTTTCAAGTCGGGCCCCGTTTCTGTTCTCTCGGGCCGACGCGCTTGAGTCGGACAGCTTCGACTTCCGGCTATGGGAAGTATGCAGAGCCACGTCGGCAGAAGCGGGAGTATTCGGGCCGGTTTTGATGAGGTCAGTGGACGGGTCGACCCGGTGCTTGGCCGTGGACGGCGGAGTTGCCATGAGCAACCCGACGGCTGCGGCCATCACTCACGTGCTACACAACAAAGAAGAGTTCCCTCTGGTGAGAGGATTGGAGGACATTCTGGTACTTTCATTGGGGACGGGTCAACTTCTAGAAGGCTGCAGTTTACCATGCGAGCAAGTGAAGGAATGGAAGGGAAATGAGTGGGCCCGGATCTCCGGCGATTGCTCGGCGGATTTAGTTGACCACGCCGTTGCCATGGCGTTCGGACAGTCCCGAAGCTCCAATTATGTCCGCATTCAGGTACTCCTATATATTCCATACATGTCTTGTGTAGTTGTGTCTACTTTCAACGCATTAGTAGAGTAGTATTCTGTACACTTGTTCATAGCAAGTCGCCGGCCGGCGTGGAGCTAAGATTAATACGTACTCCGTAGTACGCAGTAGTTAAGAATTAAGAGGGCTTATAATTTCTAACAGTTCGAATTTTGCTGAAAAATTCAAATAGTAGTGCTTTTAACAAATAATTCTAAATATACTCCCTCCGAAAACAAGTTCCCGGATTGACTTTCACACTTTTTTGGAAATAAATTTATTGAGGGGTAAATTTTATTGTTTTGACACTGATTTGCACAATTTTGATGTAGATAATTTGACAAATAAGGAAGTGAGAACTTTATTTTGAGACATCCAAATAAGGAAAGTGAGAATTTGTTTCTGGGACGGAGAGAGTATTAGCAAGTATCAAAATAGTATATTGCACAATATGTGACTTACTCCGTATTACTTTTTATTAAAGGCTAAATGGTCAAATAGTCCCTTGAACTAGCACGTGTAATGATCTTAGTAGCCGTAGGTTTGTCATCAGATTTCTTTTCTTCTAATCGGATTTTGAATAATAAGGTTCTTAAGAAAAATTAATAGTACCATTAGCTTAAAAGCATAACAATATAGAAAACATTATATGAAAAATATAGTTAAAATAGTCATCTTGGGCAATTTCAATCAATTCAATTGTAATATAAATATCAACTTACTTATTTTGACAAGGCAATTAATTCGAAATAGGGATACCAAACGGTAATTGACATTGTAGTCCGACTTCTATTTGAGGATGGAGCGAGTGCTGCATTGAAAATGACCACTCATAAGAAATTAAGAGCCCGTTTGGTAGCACCAAAATCGGCTGTTTTGGCTGATTCTGCTGAAATTTATGATATTCTGGCTGGAGTGGCTGTTTTGGCTGATTCTGCTGATTTAAGAAAAAAATATTTTAAAAATATATTTTATTAATAAATTAAAGAAAAAATTATATGTAAAAATAGTTAAAATGGTCATCTACAGTAACTTCAGCCAATACAGCCAGAAAAGTAACTCCAACCTTACTTTTTCGGCTTATTACACAATTCAGCGCGCGAATGTAAAAATTACGTGTTTGGTGAAAAAGCTGGCTGATAAGCCTGATAAGCCGAAAACAGAGTTCTCCAAACGGGCTCTAAGCTGTTAAACAATTTAACATTGTTATCCCCTTCAGACTCCAACTAAAAAAAGGCAACGACTTTATGTGCATATTCCATCGATCTGCGCTTCCAAGAGTGAATGTTAACAGGCAGGTGGTGCATAAATGTGGTGTGAGCAGAAGAACAGTATTTTCAGGTAAATAAATGAGAAGGGCAAAAAGCTATAGAGAATTTATAGTGGACCTAAAAACACCAGGGACTATAGTCTGCCCTTTTTCACCTAAAACCTGTACAAGAGCCTGCTGCCCTTATTTATCATTCATATCTGGCCCCTGTCCTATAGTTCAGTACGTTTATTAGCCTACTTCTGCATTCATTCCCTTCACCCATTTAGTCTCATTTACTCTGCTCCAGGCTCACTTTATTCTGCTCTTTGCCTCTGCCAAGCGAAAGCTACATGGATAAGAAACAGATAGAATTTTTAGATTTTTGCCTAATCTTGTACTCCTAGTAAATATCATGGAAAATATTAATGTGTTCACTCATGAATTTGGATTTAATTTCCTAGTTGTCCTGTTCACTCACCCAAACCAAATAGTGTGACCTGGCATGACCCGTGTGCTTTACTACATGCGAGTGTGTCCTCACTATGTTGCAAGGAAACGGAAAAAGTGAACTTTTGCTAAAAAAAAACTATTTGGAGAATTTTCAAAAGTTTCTTTAGAATTCCGAAATGTAAACATAACTTTTCCCGAAAATTTTCGTGCTACATAGTGTCTTTATTTTTGAAAGTGACATGCCTAGTGTGCATTTTGAAAGTGACGCATCGCCAACCAAATGTACAAACTTGGGTGAGGTTTTATTTATCCCTAACATTAAGTAGCTTCCACGACTAAAATTTTCACGACTCGATTAATTTGGTTTGAATGTGTTTATGTCTGATTTTTTTGGATTAGTCTATCGAAATTGAGTTTGGTCCAAACTTGGGTGAGGTTTTAATTTATCGAAGTTTAGTTGATCTTGCACCTATGACTCTATGAGTTAGTTTGGTTAATTTAAATATGCTCGAGTCTCATCTTACACAAAAAACAAAGTTCTTTCTTTCAAAGTAAACTTTCATTTTAAGTGCTACGTAATAAAATTCTTTCAATTTACACACCAAGTTTTTGTTGCTAGACCCTCCAACATGCAACTTGATATCTTCTAAACAAACCCTATTAGTTTTATCCCTAATTATTAGCTTAACGAGAATGCATAAAGTGACTGAATTTTTTCTGTAACAGGCGAATGGATCTAGTGTGGATGGTGGGGTGTGCTTAGACACGGACCCTGGTCCGAACAACGTGAGGAAGCTGGTTCGGATGGCAGATGAAATGCTTTTACAGAAAAATGTAGAATCTGTTCTGTTTGGGGGGAAGAGGATTGGAGAAGAAAGCAATTCCCAGAAACTTGATTGGCTTGCTGGTGAACTTGTGGAAGAGCAGCAAAGGAGGAGGATTAGCGGATTATCCCCCATTGTTACCATCAAGAAAGCTGCTCCTCCACCTAACAGCAACAGCTCTTGAATATTATCAAATATTGAAACGAAGAAAGGAATGGCAGGTAAATTTATCATCTCTGATCTAACCTTGGGGGGGGAAAATATCACCTCTAACCGTTATTTGTAAATGTCTTCTCCATGCATGTCAAACATGTCAAACAGTACAGAGTAGTATATTAACGGTTTTCTTAATTTAGAAACTTGCTTTTGATTTCATTTAATTTATTTTAATCACTCACACGATCACCTAATTATAATCACATCATCCCTTCCCGTGGATGATAGCTCCCTTTGGAGCTATCATCACCTAATTATAATCACATCATCACCTAATTTATTTAATGATAGCTCCTTTTGGAGCTATCATATCATCCCCTTCCCGTGGATGCATAAGGGAAAAGTGGCCAACCAAATATACGCCACATATACTATCGTATGTGAATAAATTTGTCATATGGCATAAAATTGACCATGTGATAGATGATGAGGGTCGTTATGTAGTTGGACTTTTTTAATTCTAGATAAGTTTGCTGTGATCTAATCTTGCATGTTTATGTTTGATCTTAGCTTGCTTGAATTGGTCTAGCAAGATGTACATAATAGTATTTTTTGAGCCCGTTTGGTAGAAGGAAAATCGGCTGGTTCGGCTGATTCTGCTGAAATTTCTGAAGTTCTAGCTAAAGTGCTTGCATTGGCTGATTCTGTTGATTTAAGAAAAAATTATTTTTAAAATATATTTATTAATAAAATAAAGAAAAAATTATATGTAAAATAGCTAAAATGGTCATCTACAGTAATTTCAGCCAATACAGCCATAATAGTAACTTCAACCTTACTTTTTCTGCTTATTACACAATTCAGCGCGCTAAGCAAAAATTACGTGTTTGGTGGAAAAGTTGGCCGATAAACCTGATAAGCCGAAAAAGGGTGTTACCAAACGGCACCTTTGTATTTTTATATTCCGTAGTATTTAAATGTGATTCAGTCATTTATGGAAGCAATTGCTCTAAAGAAAATACAAATATGTTGTCTGATTAGGTGTGTAAAATTAAATTACATCAAGTCATTTTATTGCATTAGAAAAAGCACATAAAATATTTTATCACTCTACCCAATAAAATACGGGGTACTATAGTTTACATAGTACAATGGGAAAGAACAACATCCTACAGTTTACATAATCAAATCAAACAGTGTACGTAAATTTTTACATCCCTACATTTCACATGCAAACTAGTCCGGTAATCATTTTACCTTGATCTATCAAATGCCTTGTTAGGAAGGCCGTCACAAAGTGGGGAAGTGGAGGGCGCCGCTGCCCGATAAATGTTTTTAAGGGAGTGTTTGCAATTGCTTCAACTTTAAAAAAATGATTTTTTAAAGTGATTTTGGGAAAAGTGATTATTAGTAAAAGTTGGTAGTGTTTGAGAAAAAAGTGATTCTAGAAAAGTAAAAGTTGGTAGTGTTTGGTAAAATAAGTACTTTTTGTGTAATAGAAAAAGTGAGAAGCAGTTTAAAGCACCATTCTACCTGCTTCCAGCTTTTAGCTTTTAAGTGATTAATTTAAGCAGAAGCTGTCATTTGAAAACACTCTTTTCAACTTTTTTTAAGCCAAAAGCTGAAAAGTGATTTTTTTAAGCAAACCCAAACACTCCTTAAGTAGGTATAATTACTTCAAAGTTATTATGTATGAGTATTAATATGTACTACCTCCGGTTTTTTTTAATCTTCACAGTTTGACTTCACACAAAATAAGGAAAGCAATTTGACTTTACTGTAGAGTACACTGTTGAGGCACTGTTTGACACTGTTCGGCACTGTAGAGACACTGTTTGGCACTGTTTGGATGTAGATTTCTTTGCCAAAAAAGGAAATAAGGAAGTGTGAAGTTTATTTTAGACCGTCCCAAAAAGGAAAGTGTGAAGTTTATTAAAAACCGGAGGGAGTATTATTTTACACTGTCGTTCATCCACTTGGGAATTCATGCGTCCATTACTGACCTCATAGACTCATAGTGAAAATAAAGGAAGGCATAAGGGTTGAGGTGGACTTTTCTAAGTCACAAGATGAAAGGAAACCCTAATTAGAGAATCTATTAATGAAAGGAGGTGGGGAGGGAAAGGAAAGTGAATTATGTTCTTATTGTTAGTTTGCATTAATGAGGTTGAATTTCTATACTCCCTCCGATCCTTATTAAAGTTCTCATTTTCCTTTTCGGTATGTTCCTTATTTAAGTTCACATTTCTATTTTAGGAAACAAAACAGTGCAAAACAGTGTCAAACAATGCCAAACAGTGTCAAACAATGCCAAACAGTGTCCAAACAGTGCCAAACAGTGTATTCCACAGTAAAGTCAAATTTATTTTCTTAATCTGTGTGAAGTCAAACTAGGAACTTTAATAAAGACCGGAAGAGTATTTTTCTTACCCTCAACGTTCTCTTATCACGTGTGGGTGTGGCGACCAGGTCAACTTCTTTAATAGTCACCCAACCAAACCGTTTATATTTTTCCTATCCAATGGTCCCACTTCTCACCATCCATTTTCTTTAACACAATCTGTCCAACCAAACAAGATGGCAAGATGCTGATACTGTTTACTTGTTTATGTGTTCTCGTGGGTTATTTTTGTCATTTTGTCTTTGTAAAGATCACATTAGTCATTTGGGTGATTTAAATTAAGCATGGAGAAACAAGTCCCCCACTTCAAATAGGTGATGATGTATGCTACAAAGGTCGTTTTAGGTTAAGTTGTTAGTTGTTACCCTCACGGACATTGATGTTCACAACTCACTAGACCATATTAGTGATATGCAGATGGACCCTAGGGAAAGCTTGTAGGTGAAGGGGGGCAAAGTGGTCATTTGAGATTCTAGTACTTGGGTGGGTTCATCCGTTCTTATAAAGACATTTTGTCCGTACTCTTAAAAAATACTCAAAGATAAAGGGCTTTGGGGATTTGGTGAATCATGTTGATGTATTTTGTGGTTGACAACAATAGGCAAATTAAAGTAATACTCCGTAGTATCTTCCCCTTTTTATCTACTTTATTACAATTATACACACAATAATATTCAATACGAGAGATCGCACACGGTAGCTCAACTTGTATAACAGTGAGAAAGTTGGACAACAATATTCAATATTAGATGGTGTCATTCAAATTTCCTTTTAATATTAAATATTTTAGTCCTGATTGACAAATAAAATATACTCGGTTCTATATTTGAAGTTTATGTATATTTGATCCTGTAGTGAGTAATTTCTATAAATTTATTCACTTTTACTCCGTCATTAGTTAAAAACAATCTCCTTATATCCTTGATCCATTGCCATCTCTAGTTCTCTTTGAATGAAAACGATGTTCATCGGTGTAGCTCAATTGATTGGTAGGGTGTGCCACTAAGAGTAGATCCGGATTCCGGATTCAATTCATATAAGTTTAGTAACTATCTTAGGGGACAACCTTGCTCAATAAGAGGTCCATGTAATTCTGAGATTGTGATTAGAGCTCCATTTAACTCTTTGAGTAAAGTGTCTTTGGTTCTGAAGTGTTTAGAGATGGACTGCATACTTTTTTTAAATGAAAATAATGTATCTATAACTAGGTGAGTCTAGGACGGTAAAAAAAATGATAAGAAATTATGATGTGGTATATCTCCACTTTCCACTAGTAGTAAAAAATTTGGATTGACTATTTCTGATGTGATTATTAGTGGTATGTAGGCTTTATTTCGTACCTTTCTTGGGACGTACAGTTGTGATCGACTAGAGTAAATTCTCATTTCCCTTTATGCATGTCTTTCAATTAAATTCTCATGATCATAAAAGTCAAAGCTTTACAAAGAAAATACTCCGCAAGTGTTAGTATCCCTACATTATGAGCATAGAGTTCAAAAAGTCAAATCAAATTAAAAATAAACACGGATGTTGTCGTACTTATGGGGGTGATACTGTGACAAGAGGCACTACTGTGTTATTCTCTTTTGAAAATTGTATCACTCCTAAAAAGGGTATGATTTTTTCACATCTTTGCTCTTTGTAGTAAGTGTATTGTCAAGATATAGTTTCACATTACTTTCCTTATTTCATTATTATACTTATCATACATTGACTTCAATAATGACTACAGTCAATATATAACTGATACTCCGTATTTACACATGATCAGTCTACAAATTACTGATTTTACTCTATTTGAACATATATACCTGAATCCCACAAAGTTGCAACAATTAGAGAGTATTAGTTTTGACATTTTGTGACATGGGTGATTTACCATTTCACAAAGTTTTATATCTATAAGATCAATATTAAAAGGATACTGAAACGTATTGATTCTATGTAGGCACAACTACGACTGCTTTACAAATTAGAACCCTGCCAAAGAAATCTGTTTTCTCTTTAGGCTGTCTTAAAAAAATTCCTCATTTCTTTTTAAAGAATTGTTTGGTTGATATTGATTCTATCTTTTCTAAATAAATCAAAATCACACCTTTCTATTCATTCTGTTAATTCAAATGTAGAATAAATCAAAGTCACTCATTTTTTACAAAATGAGTCCGGAAAAACGTTTTGTGTATAAACCATATTTTCTGAAACATATGATCCTGGAAAATAAGTTCTTCTGAGTACTCGTGCTGTTTGTTCCACTAAATCTGAAAATACAGAGAGAGCCTAGCCTCCTTCTACTTACAATGCACCACATAATGGCCACTACAATGTGTACTGTACCACCCCAAATGTTACTTAATGCGAATGGTAAAGCTAATCACTGTGTGACTTCATTGCAGTGCAGGTGAGAAAAGGTAAATCTGAAGGAGGAAGAGTGGTAAACCTGCAGCTTTAACTTTTGCTAGAGTGAGATTTGAAAAGGACATCCAACTGTAAAAATTATCTTGTTGGGCTTTCTTGTCTGCCTAATGGAGTGGCATTTGAACCATTTTGTGGGCAAAACCACTTTGGAAAGTCAAAGTATAGTGATCCCTATTGTAATCCTTAGGTATTAGGGGAATTATGTCTCTAAAATCTGTTTTCCCACCTCTTTCATTTTTACTTTTGAATGTGCTCATGCGTAGGGCGGTTTAATCAAGTTGGACGGAGTCTGAGAATTCAAGGCACGAAAGTCTACCTAGAATTAAAAATTTATGCTCAACAAACTAATTTCCAAATTGGCATTCCACTCATATAATATAGACCCATTCAATAACACGGAAAGGACAAGTCTGCACTCTGAGGATCCAGAAATTTTCTGAGGGCACTATCCTATGGATGGGAATGGATTGGATCGGGTCCAATGTAATACGTAGTACTAGTCTATCATGTTTAGTTTGTTCAAATTATTATTTTTAATCGGAAATAATTTATTCAATTGGTCTCAAATGATGTGCATCTATGATTATAAGTCTAGTTTTGATTTCATTAAGACGATTCCAAGCAATAATATTTATATTTGTGAAAGGACATTATTCGATTAGAAATGAATCATCCTTGCATTGTCGTCTTTGATTTTGTGTTAGAATTCTTGTTATTTTTCTTACTATAAAATGGTTAGGGTTTCACTTCTGAACTAGAATAATGTCGAATGATATACATTATGCCACAAAATTTGATAGAACTTGTTTGAAATATAATACTACGGCGTTAAAACATGAAGTAAAGTATAATTTAATTTTTTTTATTTCACCCTTCAATACAACTTTATTTAATAATATGATTTTATACATCTAACTTTTATCATATTGTGAATTGACACATTTTTTATGATAAAAGTCCTCCATCCATTAAGTTCAACATCATCCCACCTATTAGTAGTTTTGTCATATCTTTGATCTCTAACTTTAGAGTTTCGACAAACATTATAAGAGTTAGAAAAAAACTTATCAATGTCTATTTCAAAGAAAGTCTGATCATATCAACATGTCTTAGTGTAATTTACATTGCTCCATCACACCTCGTAGTCATTTACATTGCTCCATCACACCTCGTAGTCAAAACCAATGAATATGCAGTGGCGGCATTAGTTGTTATATGTTCTTCAATGGAATTATCCATATATGTATCTAATACGAAGGAGGTTTTTTTGTTCGGATGAGTATTAATACTAGATTTCGAGGCAAGTAGCAGAGACACTTGCTACCCAGGCCCCTCTAGGTCATCTACTAAATCTAAAGAGCCTCTGCTTAATCTGTTACTGTTACGTTGTAGGCTTGCCCCGTTTCAAGTATAAATTATCAAGTCTAAGGAAACTCCAAATAAAATTTTGAATTTTATCCAAGATAACTTCATTTTGATGAGTTACTGTAGTATTTCATAGGTTTTAAGGGTGTTAATGTGAGTTTGTGGCAGAGTGCCCAACACATATCTCTAGTGTTTAAATGGACAATAGGATTACTTCTAATTTAAAAAGTAACTAAAATATGATTAACGTTTAAGAAATTGCGTTATACGTACTCTTTTGTTCCATTTTATCTGTCCTACTTTCCTTTTTGGATTGCCCCAAAATAAGTGTCTCATTTCCCTTTTTGGAAAGAAATATGTGGTCTACAATATTTCACTTTATTATACTCAAATCTCAATCACAACTTTCATTTTTTCAACCATTACATATTTACATTAATATTTGTGTCAAGTCAAAGTAGGACACATAAAATGGGACGGGGGTAGTAGTATATAGGAGTAAAAACGTTTGTGAATTGAAGGACATGACTAGGCATGGACCCGGTTAGGGCCGCCCGGCCCGGGACCGGCCCGGGACCGGCCCAGCCCGCCACTGTGCGGGCCCGGAACCGGCCCGGTTCTCGGGTCCGGGTCCGGGCCGGGCCTAGGCCCGGTGGGGGGGCGGGTCCGGGCTCGGGCCTTGTATTTGGCGAACCGGCCCGGCCGGGTAGGGCCCGGGCCGAATTGATTTTTTTTAAATTTTTTTTTCATTTTTTGGGGTTAGTCGGGTTGGGCTTGATGGTGAGGAGGGGTTTGGGGGGGTGACTGGGGGGGTTAGGAAAGCAAAAAAAAAATATTATGACCGAACCGGAGGCCCGGCCCGGACCCGGACCGGACCCGGTGGCTACCCAGGCCGGTCCCGGGCCTTCCTTCCCAAAAAAAAGCCCGGCCGGGCCCGGCCCGGAATCGGAACCGGAACCGGAACCGGCCCGGCCCGGGTCCATGACTAGACATGACTATTAAGTTTTTCTTCTCTAAATAAGAATAAGTATTGTCATATTTTGACATTACGGAGTATTGTTGTTGTCCTTTTAACAGATTCTATAACAATTAAGTGATGGAATCTTCACTAACTTAGGACTTAAATAAAATATGCATGTAGTGTAATTTACATTTGAATTGGTAGACACATTTACAGATCATGCATAAAGATCTCATAGTAACATAATGTGAAAGTTTCATCTGATTTATTGTGCATTGCACACCAGACTCTAAACAACCTCACTCAAAAACTTTGAGATCATATCGTAATTTACTTCTACACTATTCTATTGAGTCACAGTGTGTGAATGCCTGAAATGAGCAATTCCACCCTTTTGGGTTGATGAAACTAGAGCTTAATAATGGACAGGGCCGTCTAATGAATTTGGAGGCCCCGGTTCCAAATGTAAAATTGGGGCCCCTCTTTAATATAAAATGTTAAAAAAAAACTCAATTCAAATATTTATACTTAAATCATTTGAATACTTATTTAATGATGTAATAATTTTTTATATCTTTACCCAAAAAAAAAAAAATTATATCTAAAACTTACTTAATTCTTGATTTAAAGAAACTTAATTCTTGATTTAAAGAAACACACCTCATTATTCAAGCAATTTCAGTAAATGAAAACTAAAGGACCAATGAAAAAAATGATAGATCTATATTTTTCTTTCTTGCTAATTGTATTTTACTGATTATTATTAATATATTAATATATAATACTAATAAATTTTTAAAATTTGGGGCCCCATAAATCTGGAGGCCCTGTTCCAGAGAACCTAATTAACCCCCTAAAAAACAGCCCTGATAATGGATTATGCTTCTAGCAGAAAGCATGCATAGGCACTGCATAGCATCTTTTAGTAGTACATCTTCACTAATCATTGATTTCCCTATTGGATTGCCCTCTCACAAAATTCAATGTAATGTTAATCTATCTGCCAATGAGCCAAAAATGTCCCTGGCCTGCTGCTACGCTTTTCCTTATGCCTACAAAATTAGTCACCCATAAGGCCATAATTTAACACTAACTTAGCCAAGGAAAATGACACCAATTTGCCTTTGTCCAATGTGACCGTCCATTTTAACTATCAGCCTTCTATAGTGTCTATAGATGCCCTTAATTATAGTAAATTAGTAATATAGGTGTAAGGTGTTCAATTGTTAATATGTTATTGCCCTATTAGACCAGTTCTACTATTAATGGCTAATATATACTCTAACTAGCAGTCCAGTCCACCTTATCTACCTTTCAGCTACCTATACTTAGCCCCTCAATTGAATATTTTAGAATTATGTATTTGTACTTATGTTGGAATAAATATAAAGTTGTGAAGTGTGTGTATCTTAGGTTAAATTACTTCATCCAGTACATATAAGGTATTACTCAGCTATGTGCCCAACTCGATCTAGTGACCATACTTCTGCGTGATTAACATTTCATCTTGTTTAGTGAGAAGAGAGTGAAGGAGAGCCTAGATATGCAGTGATGACACCATGTTTAGTTGTATGAAATTGACCATGTTCAGGGCATGCCCATGTATCCACATACGAGGCCCATTTTGTTTGTGTCACAAACAACTGACATCCTTCTTAAACGAATTATTGCCCGTGATTTCGACAAAAGAAATGGTCGAAAACAATGTTTAGTTGTGTATGGTAATTGCTAGTTAGTGGGTCAACTCATTCAATAGTGGATCAACTCATCAACCCGGTCAATATTGACTGAAAAATATAAATGAATATGTATAGCTAATGAAAATTAATTTTATTTTCAAATTGAAACTCTTGCTTGGACCCGGACAGAACCCGGCCCAATGAAAAACCGGAAACCCGTTAGCAACCGGATTCCGGTGTATCACAAAATTCCGTCATGAGGGGGAATTGAACCAGGCCTGGGGCTCGGACCGGGGGGCGCTTTGGGGGCGGGTCACAGACTTAAGCCCTCTTGGAACCGGCCCGGCCGGTCCAGGACCGGTCCGGGCCAAAAAAGTTTTTATTTTTTTGTTTTTTCAAATGGAATGGGGGAGTAAAAGGGCTGGGCGGGGTGATTTGGGGGTGTTTGGGGGTGGGGGATTAGGAATAAATTAGGAAAACCACACACATATGACAATGTTCAAGTAAGGTAGGCCTAAGAATAGTAATTCTTACGCCTCTTTCATTTTAGGTGCTTCCGGGTCGATTTTTTTTATGAAAGTTTGTGAGAATGTTCTACATGATTTGTAGATCATGTCTACCAAGTTTCACAATAAAATTCAACCGGAAAGTCAGTTAAATAAATTATTGAAAAAAACTGCATTTTATATATATAAAAACCTGCGCAATCTTGAAAAAACTATTTAACCGACTTTCCGATTGAATTTTAATATGAAATTTGGTGGTCATAGTCACTTCATGTAGAACGTTCTTACAAAATTTCATCAAAAAATTCAACCCGAAAGAACATCAAATGAAAGAGGCGTAAGAATTACAATTCTTAGGCTACCTTAATTGAACATTTTCCTATATATATATATATATATATATATATATATATATATATATATATATATATATATATATATATATATATATATATATATATATATATATATATATATATATATATATAACACCCGGCCCGGTCCCGGAACCAATCCGGACCGGTTCCGGGCCTAATGCCCAAAAAAAGTGAACCGCCCGAAGCCTAACCCAGGCCCGTTCCACCCCTATATGCAATGGGTTTAGTCGAGTCATTACACAATCGTTGTTTGGAAAATTATATTAAAAAAAATTTGTGTTCGTGTGAAAAAATTTATCTAAGAAACTATGAATCGTTCCTACTTGGACAACTACGGTCTACAAATAGACATTAGTTTGTGCCCCTAAAGACATTGGTTTGCGCGATCGCGTGTATACTTTGTGCAAATGTCTATTTTGTGTACAACTACTCATGTTTGTAACCGGCATATGTGATAAAGATTATAACTTTGTGATAATATATTTTTTAGGTAAAAGTATGATCATGTGATAAACTATTCTGTAGTTAAAAGAAGGATCAGGTATACTAGTGTCAGTAGTGTGCACATTATCACACACCAGAATTCTCAAAAACCAAATTTTACTTTATTATTGCACATGCAAATTAACTTTGGTCAAATTTATGAGACAAATGGAGTATATCAATTGTCAAAATTGTGTGTTGTCAAACAGGAATGTCAAAGTCTTTCAAGAAAGGGAGGGACAAGCTTTAGAATAAAGTGGTGTAAAGTATGGATGGACCCGGGCCGGTTCGGGCCCGGTTCGGGCCTAGGCCCGGCCGGGCCTCGGGTCTGTTTTGTTGGGCCCGAGCCCGAACCGGTGGCCACCGGTTCCGGGTCCGGTTCCGAGCCGGACCGGGCCGGGCCGGTCGGGAACCGGACCGGCCCGCTACTGTGCGGGCCCGGACCGGACCGGGCCCGGTTGGCCGGTTCCGGGCTTTTAGCCCGTGTTGGCGGGTCGGGCGGGCCGGTTCCGGGCCCTATTTTTGTTGAACCTGCCCGGGCGGTTCGGGCCGGGCCCGGTTCATTTTTTTTTTTTTTTTTGGTTTTTTCAATTTTTTTTCTTTTCCTAGGGTAGGGCTGGGTGTTTTAGGGAGGTTTGGGGCATGGGGGTGAGGGGGGGGGTAGGGAGATAACAAGAAAGTAAAAAAAAAAAACATTGAACCGGGCCCGGCCCGGCCCGGCCCGGTTAGGCCCGGACCCGGTATGAACCCGGGCCGGTTCCGGGCCCATGTAACCCGAAAAAAAGCCCGCCCGGGCCCGGCCCGGAACCGGAACCGGCCCGGCCCGGGTCCATCCCTAGATATTCAACATATTCAACGCCTTTTACACTCTTTCTGTGTGATAATAGAATAAAATGTTCTGAGAACCTAAAGTTATCTGTCACACCCAACACCACAGCCTTTAATCTTGAGAGCATTACTCAGCCTTTAATCTTGAGAGCATTACTCAACCTTTAATCTTGAGAGCATTACTGTTGACGCTGAATAAGGGGGTGTTTGGATCTGATTCTCAAAACTGATTCTGCTCCTTCATGGAGCAGAAGCAGAAGCTAGAGTGTTTGGGTGAAATTCCAGAAGCACTTCTGGAGCTCTAATTTACTCTCAGAATCAGTTTTTTTAGAAGCTGGGGGTACCAGCTTCTGAAAACCGATTCTGATTCTGCTTCTGCTTTTAAAAAAGAAGCAGAAGCAGAATCAGTTCCAAACACCCCCTAATACTCATAGTAAACTCTGAGAAGTAATACTAATAATAACGCAGCTTCCTCTTAAAGTTGAAATGACCCAACCATGTAGTTATCCAGCCTTAATGTGCTCAATAACAGCATCTCTAGGAGCTTTAGTTTTCAAAACCATTTCTTCATACTCATCTTCAGGACTTGACATAACCGTGATTGCTCCTCCTGCTCCAATGGAGGCTTCACCGTCGTGTACCACAACAGTTCTAATGACAATGTTGAGATCAAATGTTTGGTTGTATGAAAAGAAGCCGATGCAGCCAGAGTAAATGCCCCTGGAACAACTCTCAAGGTAGTCGAGAATTTCCATTGATCTCAGCTTTGGTGCTCCGGTCATTGACCCGCCAGGGAATGCGGCTTTCACACAATCAATTGCACTAACATCTGACCGCTTCTCTCCCCGTATTGTGCTAACCATTGTGTGGACTGTTGCGTATGATTCAATTTCCATGAGGTGGGGTACATGGACCGAGCCAGGCTCACATACACGCCCAAGGTCGTTCCTCAAGAGGTCAACAATCATCAAATTTTCGGCCTGATCCTTTTCACTGCCAAAAAAGACAGAAATTTGTGGCCAATGAGTTCTGCTGTATTTTTACTTAAAAGGTTTAAGTTTAAAAGTCGGAAGTTAGTGGGCGCTTCCAGGGGGAGTGCCCATTTGGTACCAAATTTTTAAACACATGTTATTCACTTATCAGCCTCATTAGCTAGGCCTACTACCAAACACTAACTTAATACTACCTCTATTCTTAAATAAGTGCAACAGTCAACTTTTCACATTTGCCGAGGCACAACTTTGACCATTAATATATATAACTCTCTATTAGTAAAAATATTTACAAAAATCAGATTTTGAAAATTTACAATGAGACAAATTTAGTAATATTTTTTTTAAAAAAAATATATTAATACATCAATAAATAAAATGTAGTCAAAGTAGAACATGTGAATAGTGTAAAAGTTTCAATCTTGCACTTATTTAAGAATGGAGGTAGTAATTTAGTAAGAATAAGAATCATTGAATAAGAATCATCTTAAAGTATGATTGAAATTATTGAGAATATGGTATTCAAAAGGGGATAAAGAATTTGATATGGTATAGCCGTATAGCAACTAATACTATATTAACAATTTTAATTTTTTAGGTTTTTCCTAAAATATTACTACATACTAAACTAAAACTTAGGGGGGGAAATGTGACTAAAGTTATTATGAGTACTTTTATGGTCATTAGGGCGTAAGAATTGAACATAACATAATAACTAAAAGAAACTAGGTCACATTATTGTCCTTTATCCTCATTTTGGTCATATTTAAGGTATTATTTTTTTATTTTTCTTCTCTTTAATAAAAGCAAAATCATTTACCTGTGTCGTAGTCTTAGTTTAAGCAATTCATCTTCCTCTGGGGTTGAACCGCGAGCTATTGTCCCTTTTATGGGTTTTGCTTCCAGAATCCCATCTCTATCCAATCGCATGAACCTCTCAGGAGAAGAACAACATATTGATAAATTTTCCCTTGAAAAATTAAGCCATGCAGCATATGGTGCTGGATTTTTAACTCTAAGACTAACATAAAGTCCTAGGGAATCAATTTCCCCTATTCTCAATCTCATCTGAGTTGTAAGACACAACTCATAACTTTCTCCATCCCTGATATAATCTTGACACTTCTCAATATCTTTTATGTACTGCTCTCTAGACTTCTCGGCAGAAAAACATTTTTTTGCCGGATAGACCTCTAAACTTTGAGATGTGTTTGGAGTATGTGCCTTGGAGCCAGAAGATTTTAAATGGAGAAGCTTTTTCTCAATATCATCCAACCAAGAGGAAGTATTTGTATTTCTATCATAAAGCGATATGATATAGATGTTGTCATGGTGGTGATCAATAACTACAACATTATCTGCAAAGAAAAAACAAGCATCTGGGGCCCTTGATTTGTGACGATTAGTTTCTCTGCCAGCTTCAGCTTTAAGATCATACCTGCAGCAAGTGTTATTCAATGCCAGCTGACTAAATGAATAAGTTATGAAGCCTAAGCCCTTGCCTGGTTGGGGCCTTTGAAGGCAACGGGAAGAAAGTGGGGTGGGGCCGTGGGGGGATAGACCATATCTCATTCCTTAATATGGGGTATTTTGGTGTCAAAAACTTCTTGATTTCTGTTTTTACCTTTTTAATCAAAGTTATTTTACGTTAGAATGGTTATAAATATGGGTACTTTGTACTATATTTCCATTTACAACAAGAATATATCAAACATAATGTCTATATATATTTATTTCTAAAATAATTCACCTCTTCTATTGAACAAAACATGAGATCTTTGTAAACTCTTCTATTTTCTTCCCCTCCCTCATTCACCATTTCTCCCTCCCTCCCTTCTTTTGAACCAAAGAAAGGCTAATAGTTACACATATTGTGGCCAATACTATGATTTATTTCTTATTTGAAACTGGAAAGCTGCATTTGCATACATCCTAAGCCTTGAACAATGAGAATCCTTGTTCTAAAAAAAACACCATTTGCAGGCTATAACTATGATAACATGGCCTACTTCTCAGTTCTCACTTCTCACTCTTCCAAGATGTGAGGAGTCTTTCAGTTTACAGGAAATTTTCCAAGATAAGGATAGTAGGTCCCAAAACAAGACCAGGCAAAGCAAATGCAAAGCATACAAAGATATTAAAAGGAAGATGATGGAGATAATGTGGATTCTCTAATGCATGAGCAACCCTCAATACTTACCCTATATAACCGACATAGCCACCATAAAAGTCAAATGGCAATCCTTCGTAATCTTTTTCATCATAGAAAAATGACTCAAGCTCCTGATATATATGTCAGCAAATGCTCAAAACCAGTAATAGATTATCGTGGTGCAAATGTGAGAACACGGGCAGCAAGAAAGAAAAAGGAGATGAATATGTTAGTGAGCATTTATAATATTTATTTGAAACTTCCATATAGATAAGAAAAAGTTATATCTTATTGACGCAGGACACCTTATTCAAATAATCCAAAAATCCATCTTCAAGATATGAAGTTTGAAGATAGCCACTAGCATCCTCAACTGTTAAATGGCCACCTCCTTTATAAGCTTCGCCTCTGAAAATGAGACAACAAGGTTTAATGTCATACATGCCTACAATAATCCAACATATAAAGAGGAACTTAATGTCATAGCACATAGGCAACAAGGTTTGACAAAAGCTTACCGTTCATCTGATAACCTAAATGAAACATGCTTCCACAGGGACCCACCCTTTATGCCCATGAATGAAAACCTTGCTCTTTCCTAGAAATCACCAAGCAGTTATTATCATGAAACTACATAAATTTGTGAAACGATTTAGTAAGTTACGAATTGGAGTTTGCCCTCCACCTTTTTATGCAAATATATGAGTTAATGACCCATCATTGAAAGCATTCATTGTTTTTACTCCAGGGGGCGTCTGGGGAGGGGGGCTGAGGGCCTGGAGTAATCAAGGCTGAAACTCACTCCATTGAGTTTCGAACCCGGGACCTCCCGTAATGGAGAGTGAGTCGGCGACCAGCTGGGCTAAGTAGTAATGCAACGACATCACAGATTGATATAGATATACACATAGAATTAGAGGCTTCAAAAGCTATTGAAGTAGTTCAAAAGCTGAATGGAAGAGAAGAAAGACCTTTTCTGTTGAGGAACTATCCAGCCAAAAGGAGTTTGCAGTATTCTGACCACCAAATAGCTCACAAAATATATTCTTAGATCCCCCAATTTGGCTGGCCAGGTAATCAAGCTTTCTCCATCTCATCTTCAAATATTTTACATTATAGCCGGGATTTGAAGAATTTATGATGCTCTGCGTACAGATGTTTTTCTTCTCACCCAAAGTAGTCACTATGTTGCCTCCTCTTGAAGCATCTGTAAGTATCTGGTCCACTTTAGCCGCCTGCATGCATTCTACGTGAGGTTTACTGATCAGGATTAAAAATAGGTCATTCCAATGAGAAACAATTTGAGTGCTAACCCCTAGAAATTTAAAATACTGGTCATCAATTTAATGAATAGAATATAGAGATGTTCAAAAGTTGCGGTTTCTTGTCAGATGAAATTAAAAGAAAATCAGACATTGGGGATGAGAGAATTTCTAGGCACAAGAAAAAATGCAATGAAAGTCAACTATATCAGGACATTTTCATTAAAACTCCCAACTGTAGCTAGAACTGTAAAGAATTCTGTGTTAATTGTATGAATTAATTGAGAGCAGCTGATCAGAATATAAGAAAAATAGATAGAAATTACCAGCATAAGTGACATTTTTCTCACTAATGGGGGGATTCAACCTCAACCAGTAACCCTTAGTTATCTCGGCAAAATTCTTGAAAATCTGCTTTCCATAGCAGGTTGCAACACTCTCTGGATGGAACTATAGGCAAAAGAAAATAGTATTAAAAATTTAAAACTAAAACATGGCGAAAGAGAACCATGCACAAACCCATTTAACAAAACAAACCTGCAGTCCATAATGAGGCCTGCTGGAATGCTTGATGCCCATAAGGATTTGTCCAGCTGGAATCTTTTCAGCATCACAAGAGAAAAATGAACTTTCATTTCTTAAATCTTTGGATAGAGGTCCAACATAAACTTTATTCCCATTCACTCCGTCACATGCATGAGTATATGGATCAGATTGAAAGCTTCTTAGGAAAGGAGTGGTCTCAGAGGTTGGTGTCCAAGCAATAGGAATCAGTTCTCTTGGGAGTGATTCAGGCTCTATAACTAAAGAATGGTATCGAACCACCTATTTGTATCAAAATAAGAAGAAGAAAACTTAGATTGACTTCATGCATCTACTTGTGCACTAACTACAACTCAACATTGATAAGATCCTGCATTAAAGATTTCTATTGAGCATTTCTCGGACAAACAATAGGAACCTATAATCTGAAATACATACTCAGAAATATGAAACTGGAAATAGCATAAACACGAAAATAAAAACAAAATAATGAAAATCTGACTTGATTACTTGAATATCATTTCTAATCAAAGAAAAATCCACTCAACCTTAAATCCAGAATTTATTGCACAGGGGATCTCATGGAATAGCTTGGAACCATTATGTGCAACATCACTGCAACAAGAAAAAGAAAAGTTAAACGCAGTTCAAAGGTTTCATGGAAATCATACCTACAAAACTGCATATCTTAGCAGCTACAGCTCATGTACCTCAAACGTCCATGGACAGGTTCAGGTGCATGGACAACCCGAGCGCCATGCACAAATCCTAGAGCCTATTTAGTATTTAACAAATGAATAAGAATCCAAATCAGGAAAGTTGTCCAACACAGAGATGATATAATAACCTCAATGTACTTTCAAATAAACATAAAGTAACAACTGTTACCTGGTGGCCAAGGCAGATACCTAAAATAGGGATATCACTACACTCAAGCAACAGCCTCAGGCAAAGTCCTAAAATAAATACTTAGGTCATGATAGTATATATTTTTTATTAAGAACATTTATTATATACCGCTTATGCAAAACCAAAGTAAGAACTATAGAAACAACCAACCACATTACTAATAGTGAGAACAGGGGATTGACAGCAAACAAAAAAAATTGTTGTGTCGACTAAAACAAAACCATTAAAGTCTTGACTCTATGCAGCAACATTACATGAATGAACCATATGATTTAAAAAAAATTAGTATGAATTCTATAATCTAATAATCTATTAGCCTTTATAGATCTCACACATACAATTACAATTAATAAAATTCATGGTTGAGGCCTAAATATATTTGTCTTTAATTGCACTGAATAACTGAACTGTTTGGACTTTGGAGATTATAAGAGAAAGAGATATAAGCTTTGGTGTTCGTATCAAACCTATATCTGAGGGGCATGTTGGAGATCCAGGTCCAGGTGATATAACTATGTTGTCAAAGGCATTTTCTTCATACAAGTAGCAATAAAACTCTCTCCATGTCCATTCATCATTTTTAACCACCAGGGGAGGCACTAATACAGTAACAAGGAATAGGTAAGCACACAAAAAAATTTTGATGCATAATTAAATCAAGGGGCGGTTTGCCTTTCTCCATTAAGTTCTATCTAGATTAATATGTATGTCGTATCAAGATGTTTGTCCGGATCAAATGGTCTTTGTATAAAGAAGGTTTTTTTGTGCTCAATAAGCTGTCTGAATTGGCTAATTGAGAAAAGTAACCAATTTAAGGTTGTTTGCGATACTCTAATCCATGAAAAATGTCACTTGTTGACACACATGATACATCTATTCCATAATGTTTGTGGGTTTAAGAGAAATGCCTGAATAGACGTCTTAGCATGCATCTTAGATTCTTGGCGGAAAGGAGTAATATATCATGATATAATGATTTAGTAACTTTTTGAGTGAATGACTAAGTCGTATTTCTAATTAAGTTGCAAGTAAACACAACTCAATGGCAGAACAATTAACTGACTTAAGTCATTGTCCCTATTAAGTCCACTCATTAAATCAAAAGCAAAAAAGCCCCAAATGAAATTGTCAAAACAAAAAAGTGAGTATGGAGATGTTAGTATTCATTTTTTAAAATCATCACATCTCAAATGCAGTGATTTTAGTCACTAATCATAAGTTTAGTGGCCAAATATTCAAAAAGCTATTATGATCTATAACCTACTTCTGACTTACGAGAAGCAGTTAAGATTTAAGAGTGATGATGAAAAGCTAATGACAGAAGCGGAGGGAGAGTGAGAGAGCTCTTACACCCATTGACAAGAGTCAATTCTTGAAATATATTGTATGTGTAACTGTCATAGTTATCAATCAGCAGTGTTCGTATTCGTTCTGAATTCTGAACTGATACCTTCAATTCTTTCTGTAATGTAGGCAATCCACCCAAGGATCTGGGAACAAGGTGGCTAGAAATCACATCATGATGAGACCTTCGGAATTTAGCTTTAGTGTTGGAATTGCCAATTCTAGCAAAAGGTTCGGTGACTAAATAGTTTAGGTTTTTGAATCGAATGCTTCCGCAAAATGAGCCAACATATGATATTGAAGATGACAAAGTACAACTCATGCTTGTGGTTTTACAACCCCAAACACAGATTTGCAAAAAGCCTCCACTATCTCACTTCCCTCTACAAAACTTAAAAACGAAAAAAAGGCACTTAAGTACGTCTAAGTGATAAAACATAAAGTCAAATACTAACCAAAAAAGGAGGCAGATAGAAACATTAAAATTATGATAAGCCTCATACAACTATATTGATTCATATTAAAGCGGCATAAGCACATGCAAATGCATAAAAAGAACGCCGTTTCAAACCATTTTTACACCCATGATAAGGCAAAGATAAGGGTCCCAATCATAGAAGGCGAATAAAATTTAAACTCATAATTATATACTACTCCGTCTTACTAACATCTGAACATGAGCGGGTGGTGAGGTTATTAAGAAAAGTAGATTTATGTCGTTTATTGAATTGATAAAGTAAGAATGATTTAGAAACACATAAATTGTACCAAATTTAGTATGAGTAGTGGGACGGACAGACCGACTCAAACGGAAAGGTGACTACTTTGGGTGAGAAGAAACAGAGCATCATAAATTCTTCAAATCCCGGCTATAATGTAAAATATTTGAAGATGAGATGGAGAAAGCTTGAATACCTGGCCAGCCAAATTGGGGGATCTAAGAATATATTTTGTGAGCTATTTGGTGGTCAGAATACTGCAAACTCCTTTTGGCTGGATAGTTCCTCAACAGAAAAGGTCTTTCTTCTCTTCCATTCAGCTTTTGAACCACTTCAATAGCTTTTGAAGCCTCTAATTATATGTGTATATCTATATCAATCTATGATGTCGTTGCATTACTTGATCTTGGATAATCCTAATGGGACGGAAGGAGGCATTGAAGATCAAGTACTGCCGAAATAGGACTTCAGCTTCGGCTTTTTGGAGGGGCATTGTTTGATGATTTTGCTCCAGAAAGCATTTCTTTGGGTAACACATAGTCCGCATCTAATCTCTTTTAGGCCAGCTCTTCAATGCATGGGTTTTGTTGCACTAATTGGGCTAGTGTGTTTTTATAGAAATTGGGCTAGTGTTATTAATTTAAACAAATAGATCCATAGATGAGTATTTCTATTCACATCACTATATTTCTAATTGCAATCCCCATATAAAATTTTAATAAATAATTTTTTTTAAATATCAGATTTACCCTTTTGTTAAGTAAATCCCTCACGGCGTATCAAAATTGTTACACCTCATTATTTTGCCCGAACTATCTTATTTACTAGAAGGTCCGCTCGAAATATATACCAACCAAGGACACACGATAATGGCGTGCTGGAATTAGTCATGTTGCCTTCCTTATTGGAACTTATAATTTGTAGAAATACTCGTGTTTCAAAAATGAAATGAAAGTTTCATATATTGATCATAATCGAAGCTTATAATTTGTGGCGGTCTAGAAAACTATCGTTGTGTGTGTTGTACTTAAAAGTTATAATTGATAATTGGGAAAGTTCCCGAAATAGGATTAAAACAATTTGAAAATTCCAAAATAGGATTGTCATGTTATTTATTCCCAAAATAGGAGTAATTACTGCCACATTTGGAAAATACTGTCATATTTGAAGTCTGGTACTGCCAAAACATGGCAGTAATTAGTCCTATTTTGGGAATAAAAACATGACAGTCCTATTTTGGAATTTTCAAATCTTTTTAGTCCTATTTTGGGTAATATTCACTTGATAATTAATGAGTATACAAATTTCTTCCTTGAAGAAACAGGACAAATTTATTAAATTTTATTGTAGTTCTTTTTCTGGTGTAAGGTTGTTTTATTTTAATTTTCCATATAGTTGACTCAATGCGAACTATGTATATATATGATTGGTAGTGAAAAATAGTTGCAATAAAATTTGGTGTGAATTAACCTGCAATTTCATGTCTTTGATATAGAGTGATCATTGAACCTTCTAATGTGTGAAACATGAGTCATGAGTCATTGAACCTACAAGAACTAGAGTGAAAAACTTTCTTTATCTCAAAGTTTGGCAATTCATTTACTCATCATTGATCACTATTGCTATTTCCCTCGAGATTGAGTCACAATTAAAAGAGATTTCTAACGTCGAATATTCACCAATTCACAGTTACCGAGTATATTGTCATAAGGGTAACTTAAATATTTTGTTTAGTTTTAATTATTTATGTTTAATTTAGTGGCTAAGAATAGTAATTTAGAACCTCTAAATGGAATTAGCCCTAATAGATCTATTATTATCATAATAGAAGTTTGTATATATGTAATACAAACTTCCAATTTTATATGTATGTACATATTGTATTACCTTTGTCCCAAATTACTTTGCAAAATTGATTTTATTCATTTTATTCACTCCATTAGGATGTCAATTTTTAATTATATTCTAATTTGAGGTTTGCAACTTTGAAGAGATATTGATGTAGTTTCTGAATATGTAAATTTTAATTATTAAAATTTGAATTAATTATCAATAGAGAGAATTTAACTTTGATCTTGATTGACCAAAAAATGTTGACTTTGCAAATGGATTTGGGGTGGAGGGAGTATATATTATATTATATGTAGTATAGTATAGTATGTGATTTAATTGCTTTAAATACATCAAGAATGAGCTGACACGTTAATAAATAAACCCCCAAAAAACTTCATAGCAAAAAGGGCACTTTATGAATGCATTAGTCTACCATATATTATCAAATTTGCAAAGTGAAAACAATGCTTGAATGCATTACTAAACCGAATATGATTAAAAAAAATGGCGTCATTCAAAATTTTCACGAGAGCAGTACTTTTTGGAACCGAGCTTCATACGTCGACTTATGTAGTAATGTAGTATATGACAATATACTTCAACTTTCCAAAATAAAAAAATATTCATTAACTAAACAATTGACCATGTACATACACATATCTCAAATAAAAAACTAACTTTCAACCAGTTTTATTCAATTCCCAAATAACTGGAACAAAAGATGGAAAATTTAAATGTGACATGAAGGCCTATCAAGATGCCTTTTTCATTTATTTCATCAAATTTTCATAGGCTTTTGTAATGTTTGTATTCTCATATCTCATCTTTAAAAGAATTTATAGTTTCTATCTAAATTTTATGCTTAATTTCGCTTGTTGGTTTGGAGACTTCAAAACAAGGGTTTTCAGATATTATTCATGATTTTCTTATTGTATCACTAATCTGGAGATTCGACTCACGAGGATTTAGAAGACTTCGTTTGATTCCTTCATCAATTAGAAGAATAAAGTTTTCTTCCTGGTACATGTCATGTTATTAAGATCATAAAAATGCAAATATACATTTATAGTATTACAATCTTATAAAGAACCATGCGAACCATTGCTATTTTGGTACATAAGATGTGTTGGTGTAGTGATAATTATTTAAAGAGGTATATGGTTGTACATTATGTTTCCCACTTTGTACCCCACATCACTCACTCACCCACACACGCACACATTATGCATTTCCTTTAAATGACGTATCATTGTCATTGCTTATCACAAATACACCATTCGTTTAACCCATCATATATTATTGTCCTCTTAACTCATATCACATGTGTCATTTCTATATCAATTAGTGCTACATGTTTCATCTTCTTTGGCAAGTCGTTGGTCATGTATGAAGAGTAATTTTTTATTTGTTTGGATTTATTTATTTGATTCTTTACTTCTAGAGTAAAGAAAATAGGGTCTTCTCCGTCACTCATGGTTACTACTCGTGATTAGAAAGTGAGCTCTTCTTCGTTAGAAACGATTGGTACTAAGCAATATTATCGCAAAGTAGTAATGGACCAGGCCAACATCACGTCTCGAGAAGTTCAAGACATTTTTGTTTGGTGCATATAGGAAGTTGTCACTGATGTACTTATAATTTACACACTTTTCAAGAATAGTGTGTTGATAATTTTAGTTACTAAAGTTGTACATTTGGACATATTTTATTATTTGTTGTTACTTTGTATATATTAGTACGGTCTTGTGCTTATATTTTGTAATTTCAAGAACGTTTGATGTCATATGGACGCATTCGATCATGAGGAATAGGAGAAAACACAATACTTGGAGTTAATTAGAAATTAATAAAAGAAGAGTCTCTTTCACAACAAATGAGAAGAATATTGAATAAAAGAGACGTAAAGCAAAAAAAATGTCACTTTAGATTCGCACCGTGGTCACCCACGAAGGGAAACAAGCGCCAATCGACTAAACAACGATCGAACGTCTCAACTCACAGAAGGAATAGTTTTAAATTACTACAACAAGAAAAGGAGGAAAACAAGTATGGGTCCCGAATCAAACCCGTGACATGAGAGTTGTTTATTGTCTCGGTTTTCACTGTCCACTGCTATTGTGTTATACATTGTGTCTGGGCTTTGATTTTCTGTTTCGGATTTGTAAATAATTTCCCACACTTGATAATTAATTAATTAACTTGTCATGATATGACATTAGCCCTTCTTCCTCCACATAAAATTCCGAACAATTATCTCTCTACTCAACCCAGAAATATTTCCTTTTCATTCTCTTTTCATTTCTCACCCCCAAATTATCAAGCAATCTTTAACCACAACTAATCACTTTCTTATTCAAGATTAAGTTCAAAAATAGCGACAAAGATTTAAGGGTTGTCATCTATTACAAGTTTGCTCTCCCTTGTCTCTTTAAATCTTGTATTTTAATCGTGAATTCATATTTTTTAAGCTTCCCAATATGCATAACTAAATAAATTTGGGGCTAGAAATTGTTTGAATTATTATTTTTAATTGTCAAGTTTGTTCTATTTAGATTAATTGTTGTGTTCTGAAAAACAAATTATGTTGTGTTTATGATATATATATTATAAGTATTCAATCATAAACATATTTTTATATTTATGAACACTGATCACACCGTTAAACTCACAGAAGGAATAGTTTTAAATTACTACAGCAAGAAAAGGAGGAAAACAAGTCTGGGTCCCGAATCAAACCCGTGACATGAGAGTTGTTTATTGTCTCGGTTTTCACTATCCACTGCCATTGTGTTATACATATTGCGTCTGGGATTTAATTTTCTGTTTCGGATCTGTAAATAATTTCCCACACTTGATAATTAATTAGCTTGTCATGATATGACATTAGCCCTTCTTCCTCCCCATAAAATTCCGAACAATTATCTCTCTACTCGACCCATAAATATTTCCTTTTCATTCTCTTTTCATTTCTCACCCCCAAATTATCAAGCAATATAATCTTCAACCACAACTAATCACTTTCTTATTCAAGATTAAGTTCAAAAATAGCGACAAAGATTTAAGGGTTGTCATCTATTACAAGTTCGCTCTCCCTTGTCTCTTATAAATCTTGTATTTTAATCGTGAATTCATATTTTTTAAGCTTCCCAATATGCATAGCTAAATAAATTTGGGGCTAGAAATTGTTTGAATTATTATTTTTAATTGTCAAGCTTTTTCTATTTAGATTAATTGTTGTGTTCTGAAACACAAATTATGTTGGGTTTATGATATATATTATAAGTATTCAATCATAAACATATTTTTATATTTATGAACATTGAACACACCGTTAAACTTCTTTTACCTTATCCCCGATTGAAATTTTTCGAGAGAATTTAATTAATAA